TTCTGGGTGGACACGAATTTTTGAACACACAACTCACCCCTGCACAGGTGGAGGGGCTGTTCCTCGCTCCATTTTCCAGCCTGACCAGCCTCCGAGTCCTCCCTCGGCTCTGAACGGCCTCCCACAGAGTAGTTCACGCCTGGCTTGGCCTCGGGGTCAGAGCCACAGGGCCCGCGTGGCATCACCACCGGGTGTGTCCCAACTAACAAGGCTTCCAGGACATGCGGCGCCCCTCCGCCTCCCTCGTCAGCAGGAAGGGCCTCAAAATTCCTTACCAGTCCGACGGAGTTGGGCGGCGGGAGCCCACTGTGTTCAGGCCACGCCAGGCACGGGACCCACGTGAAGCCCCTCAAGGCAGGCCACTGGCTGCTTGCCTCCCACCCCACCACCACCTTCTCCCTGTGAAGCTCTCAGCACACGCGCCTCAAGATAAACCAAACCACCACACTGAGATTGCTGGGGGTCAGACCAACAAGTGTACCCCGACCCCATACAGCAGGAGGAAGAAAAGGTTGTTAAGGAAACATAATGGTTGTTTTCCCCAACCTCTTAGAACCTGAAGCAACAATTTTTACAGGCGCCTTCATTTATTTCTAAATAGAGACAAACATAACATTAAATCGTTATCAGACATGAGAAAAGCAAAGCAGCTGATCTGGCTTTCATTTGACTCCATTGAGTTAAAAGAGGCTTTCAACAGGGGTGGGAGGAGGAGCCGGAGGGAAGAGGTATAATAATACCAAGAAATGCCCTTGATGGAAATGATAAGGTTCCCTCGGAAAGATGGTGTGGCTTTGTGTGCAGGAAGAAAGCAGCCATTCCTTATCGGGAGATCCTGAGGCGGGCCAGCTTTCTCATGTAAATCCCCCGGCTGCACCCTGGGACGGGCAACCCCAAGTCCAAATGCTGGTTCTAGTCCCGGGCACCGGCTCAGAAGGCTTTGGACTTCACGGAGGGGAGAAGGCCCACCTTTCATGGCCCAGAGCGCACCGTGAACCTGACCTGGGGTCTGGGCCCCAGCAGAAGAGCCTGAGCGGCCAGATCGAGGTCACGGGGCTGACCTTTGTTTGACATTGGAAATCGACCATAAAAGAAATCTCTGTTCTTTGTGAGAAAAGACAAAGAAAGGAAAAGAGGGAGGAAAAGGCTCCGAATGGCATCAAGCAAGGTTTGAAAAGCACAAGTCCCACCTTGCACCCAATTCTCATTCCCCGGAGGGGCCCCAAATCCTTACCTGTACCCAGGACAGTGACCGGAGGTCACAGTCCCACTGGGGAGGGATTTGGAGGAGGAGCCACGAAGGGGAAGAGAAGAGGAGAAGAACGTCTATGTGTAGACGACCGGCTCTTCCGACGTAACAAAGTGCAGACGCCCCCTCCTTGCCAGCCAAGCCCAGCGTCCCCAGGCCTGTAGGCCCCAAGGCCGTGGGCAGCATGTTCATGCAGACAGTGCGCGCCCTCGAGCAGGCACTGGGCCAGGCCGCTGCGTTAGAGCAGATCACTAATTTGGCCCCAGGTGCTGGTCCCAGGGCAGGGCGCCTGTCCACCCCAGTCCCATCGGCCCCTCATGTCCCCAAGAACCAAGTCCAGGCTCCTCCCCGCAGCCCAAAGGCCCCTGTGAGCTGGCCCAGACCCTCCACTCGGGGCTACTTGATTTCATTCTATGCTCTGCTCAACATCACCTCGGAGAAGCCTCAACCTCCTTTCTAAAATCAAAGATCCCTTCTTCATGCCCTTTGCCGCTCTTCCCCCCAACAGACTATCACTGCCTGACCCTACAGGATGTGCCACTTTTTATTGTCTGGGCCCCACAAGGAGGCCAGGTCCTGACCTGGGGCAGGGACTGTGTCTGTCTTGTGGGACCACATGCCCCCTGCCCCACACACAGAGGGGCACCCGCAAGTCCATGTCGGATGAAAGAATGAATGAATGAATGAATGATTGAGGGAGTGACGAATAAGTGAATGAGCACAGCTGTGCTGGCTGAGAGCATCTGTCCTGCCAAAGGCCGTCCCACGGCTTCCTGCTGTGCCCGACCACCGGGGCTCAGGGAACAAGCCCCCCAACGGGCCAGCCCGGGTGTGCTCGGGGGGGCACCCACCACCCACATCCTCCAGCCAGACGCGGCACCTCGGTTCCCGCCTCCGCACGGTAGGGTCCTGGCTGGGCAGATGCGTGCACCCAGCACTGGGGACGCTGGGGTGGCGTGACGGCATGTTTCACAGGTTTCCACAGCCCCCTACCTGGGCATCCAGCCCCAAAGGGCAGCAAATTACCCATTTCAGTCTTCGTCTTACAGCCTAGACATGGGATAAGGAAGGTCCCGTGGCCCCACCATCGTGCAAACACAAAATGGACTCATGGTGGATCTGCCTCCCTAAGAAAATGGCAGCCCTGTGACTTCCCAGCTCTTGGGAGCATCTGGAAGTGGGAGGAGATGGAGGTGAAAGGGTTCCGTGTCCCCTTCCCCAAGGGCGTCCCCTTCCCACTCCCTCTCCTCCCACCCTGTCTCAGCCGGGACAGCGAGCACGCACAGTGACCCCTCGGAGAGGACGTTCTGGCCGGGACTCAGCAACACATCAGGTGTGAGAGCAAAGTCAGCGGCGTTCTCCGCTCAGCCCACCCCAGCCTTTGAGGCCAGCCGCAGAGAGCAGGGAGCCTAAGCCCTCAACCCCCGGCCAGGAAGACAGACCCAACATCCTGACCTTTCGCCGGGAGCCACACAACATGGGCAAGGAGGGGCACAAGAATGGGCACAAGCCACAAACAGCGGGGAGCGAGGGGGCTTCAGGGAGGGTTCGTCTCCCTAAGGAGCACCGAACACGTTTCACGGGCTGTGCAGACCTTCCAGAAGCACGACAGACAGACGACCTCCTTCTCTGATCTCTTGAGAAGCCAGCCTGCTTCTGTCACCCACAGCACTGGCTGCCCCCCAGGAGGCCACCCTTCCCCCCACAGATACCTCCTGCGTGTCTGCCCTCGGACACCCTCTCCGCATGGCCATGGGACCACCATCGTGCAGGGCTGGGCTGCGTCTGTAGCACGGGGACTCCGGACCTCCCGCCGGCCACCGCCCTGAAGCCCAGCAGGCCCTGGGAAAGGGGCCCCCGACTCCTGTCTCTCTCTCACCTGACTGTCCCGTGGCCGCAGTCCTGTCACCCTCCCCTGGCCCAGACCCCCTGTCTGGCCAGTCACTGATCCTGCAGCACATGCACCTGGCTGAGGTTTTCTACAAGAGGAGGAGAAAGTGGTCCCAACCACCCTCCCCAGTGAGAGAGCAGGAGCAAAATGGAACATTACAGCTTCATCGTCCTATCCCGAGACATTGGAGTCATCTAGTAAGAGAAAACCCGAGCGCTGGGCCAGCACGTCTCCCTACCTGTCACGGGCAGGAGCGAGTCTCAAGATACTTAATTAGAGCCGCGTAGCCTCGCAGAAACCGCAGAAGCTTAACGAAGCAGGGCCGACAGAGCAGGCCGTCTCCTCCCCACGCCTCAACGGGTGACTGCGGCACATGGACGGGACGGAGAAGCTGCCCGGATGGTGGCGGTGAGTGACAAGACCTTGTGACCCCCACCATAGCTTCCCACATGGAGCTCGGCAGGCGCCGCGACACAGCAAGGCCTGGAGGTCTCCATGCAGGCTGGCGGCCAGTTCCCTGGTCCTGGCTGCATGTGCTTGGCCCGGCACAGGGTGTGGACAGGCTGAACTCTTGCCCTGTGACCGGGGTGCAAACTTAGAAAACGCCAGGTGGGGCATCCAAACAACAACAAAGATGAACTTTGGTACATTGTCACATGGTAAAAAGACCCATAAATACACCTGAAGAACTTTCCCCAGAATCCATCCTCCGCACCGCTCTGTGGTGCCTACGGCTGGTGCGGGGCTCGGGACCCGTGCCCAGGCAGAGGACGTGGGGAGCGGGTCAGCTGCAGGGCCGATGCACCCTTTAACCCTGCTCACAGGGCCGAGATTTAAATCAGGGGCAGTGGACGTCCTGCCTCTCACCTACGCAGCATCCGGCCGCTGGGCCACCTCGACGACCACCTCTCTGGGGCCTGCTCAGTCGTCCCCCAGCACATCTGTGCCCTGGGTCTTGCTCCTCACCACGGAAGCCTCGTCAGTTCGTGGTGCCACAGAGACCCACCCCCCACAGGCTTCCTCCCACGGTGGCCTCGGCCGCTCATCGGCACACTTGGTTGGCTGGCTACCACTCTGCTGCCTTCTCATCACCCCAAAATTAGGAACAGCCTGGCTTGCCACTCGCCAGGGCTCAGGCTCCCCTGCTTCCTTCGTATCCATGTTTGCAACAAACTCAAAGTCAAGTTTTTGCTATAAAACACACGATGCTCTGCCTCTCGGTTATACTCCGTCCTGTCCCTCCAAGTGTACTTCCAGCCCAGCCACTTCTCCGCTTCCCCACCAGCAGCTGTGGCCAAGGCTGTGAACATCCCCCAAAACCTGCTCCCACCTGCTCGGTAATAACACCCCTGGTTATCTGAACACGACACGCAAAAGCAGGGCAGTTCCCAGACCCCTTGGAGCTAGATGCAGCCATGTGACCGGGTTCTGGCCAATGAGATTCTGGTGGATAGAAAAAGGTCCCCCACCCGGGGTTGTCCCCATCCTAATCCCTGGAAGCTGTGACTGAGTGACCTGACATGCAAAAGGGTACTCTGCAGGTGAGATTAAGGTAAGGATCTTGAGATGAAGCGGTTACCCTGAATTTCCAGGTGGGCCCAATGTCACTACAGGGGTCCTTATGGGGGAGGGGGGCGCAGAATCAGAATGGGAGCCATGACCAACAGAGGCAGAGGTCAGGCACCTCACCTGCCTCGGTCAGGCCCATGCCGACTCTCCGGGAGGCCAGGGGCCCCAGGCCACCCTGCTGTCCCTCAGCCATGTTGTCCTCAAGGGAAAACCATGCTTATGCCCAGTTATGTCAGCATCTGACAAGGGTGAAAACAACAGAAAACACTCAAGAAAACCATCAGTAGAGAAAACAGGTAAAAGTTTAGTTTTTCATACATAACTTAAAAAAAGATATGAAAGAATACCAATATAAAACATTCCATAGCAAATAATGTTTGTACAAAATCCAGTAAGAAAACATAATTTTATCACTTAAGATGATTCATAAAATATATTTTGCTAAAAAGCAAATCGACACGTCCTAGACAGAGACACCTGCCCGAGTGCAGCAGAGAGAAAGGAGCCTCGTGCTTCCCGGCGCCGAGCCCTGCCCGGTGGATGCCCGCAGGGCTCGGCCCACGGCTGGCTCCAGCAGCAGCTTCCTGCACTCGGGCACGAGAGCCGGTCAGGAGCACGGTGCCCCCTCCACCCTCGGCCACGCTCCCCAGTTGCCCGGGCAGGTCAGCGAGGGCAGGAGGAGGCCCACAGAGCCAGCGCACCTGAGTGTGTCCCCACGCTGCGGCGGGATGGGGGCCACCCCCGGCCGCTCTTTACTGGTAGGTGACCTTCACGCAGAACGCCTCTTCGTTTTTGTCTTCGTGGTCATTGATATAAATCAGGATCTCCTCCTCCCCGGCGCTCTGACGAGGTGCAAACCGCAGGCCGATGGTGTAGGTCTCTCCTCCCCTGACCTGGAAGGCAGCAAGCATCCAATCCCAGGCTACCCCAGCCACTGCTCTCTACTCTGGCAAGTTCTACACGTGCAAACCTGGGCTGACAGAGGAGGTTAAGCTGAGGCTCCAGACCCCAAGGCCTGAGGCAGGCAGGACTCCAGACTCCTGATGTTCTCAACTAAATTTCCCAGTGTTACGGGACACAGCTGCTCTTCCCATGCCCCAGGGGACACTTCACAACAAGAAACACCCTCCACTGACAGACTGCGATGAGCTGCACTTTCTTCAAAATACAACAGAAAAAAGGCTAATTTGCAGGGCACTTGTGGGTAAAGCCACTGATAAACTGCAGGGCAGACTGGCCACCAGAACCCCTGTAACGGTGCCTAGATGTGGGGGCCCCAGAAACACAGGCAGAAGAGCTCAAAGAGGGATGCCCGCCCCCCCATCTAGTACCTTCCCCAGTGCAGATCCGCACTGCTCCCTCCCAGGACTCTCTCAAGACCACCCATTATTAGATGGAACTGTTCCTAAATGTGGTGCCGACCCTCACACCTCGGGGCTCCCGGGAGAAGCAGGGCCCGAGGGCCCCCCCCACACGCAGCCCTCCACACCCCGCACAGCACCCGCACCTGGAAGCAGTCCTCCCTGAACTGCAGCAGGTCAGGGTGGTCGCTGTGCAGGTGGTAGGTCCTCTGGGAGGGGTAGGGGTTGGTGTAGGTGATCCGCTTGTTGGCGCCTTTGCCTTCCCCCGCGGCCAGCGTGATCTCGAAAGCCTGTGGAGGCAGGGGCAGCAGTCACCCTTCCTGAGCCTGCTCTGTATGTGCCACCTGACTTAGGGCATCTCCCTAAATATGACAGACCCCCGCTGCGGGGGCTCACCATACAGACGCAACCCACACCCCTACCCCCAGGCCACAGACTACAGAGGAGGACACAGGACCAGGTGACAGTCAGGTGACATACCACCCATACCCCGTGTGCCCCTCCAGACCTTGGAAATGAGAGGTGGACGGCAAGAGAGGCACACGAGCCACGAGGCCACCAGCTGGTGGTAGTCCACGTCGACCAGGTTAAGGTGGATGAACCGGCTCCCTGCTCTCTGGGGCCTCACAGCAACATGCAGATCCTGCACCCCGTGAGGTGGCAGCACAAACACACCCTTGGGGTCCGTCTTTAAGAAGAGCAGAAAAGAAGCGGGTCAGGACGCAGTCCCTCACACTGTACAGACCAGGCATTTCCTGAAACCTGCAGCTCAGGGCACAGAGAGAATCCCAAGGGAACCCCCGCTATTCCGGGGGCAGGGGGCCCACGTGGCCTGCGTGAGGTCAGAAGGGGCCCGAGTGACGGTGCCAGATCTGAAACCAGACCCAGCCACACCGTCAGGCTCGCAGCACATCACGGTCCGCATCACGATCTGTGCGGGCAAGCGGCCTCCGTGTGGCCACGGGCCCCTAAGCACCAGAGCTGCCTCAGCAGAGGGAGATCTCAACGAGCTCCAGCTCAAAACCCTGGCAAGGAGTCTGCATTGCCCTCATTATCCAGACGCATAATTGTGGCTAAATTAATTCCAGAGCTGCTATTAATATTTGCCTTCCAATAATTTTTCTAAAAAGTGGCCTTTGGGGTTTATATGTCACTCATCCCATGATGGCATATCCAATAAAAGGCAATCTGAATGAAGACTCTACCGCGAGTCTTGTCCACAGGACCCACGCCGTCCGTTCCCAGGGTGGGGTGAGGAGGGGAGAGGCCAGAGAACACCCAGTGACCCACCTTCAGCTCCTGGGGGTGCGAGGTGAAAGCCTGCACTCTCCGAACCGTCTGTGTCCCCCGAAGGACAAGGGACAGGCGGGTCTGCTGGCCTGTGACACAGGAGACGTCCACGCGCTGCAAGGAGTGAAGGTGGACCTGCCATATCTGGACAGGGGTTGCCAGCCAGTTATCCCTGTGCAGGACAGAAGCGGTTATCAGGGCTGGTGAGGACAACAGCACCAACCGGGAGACAGAAGCCGGGAAGAGGCCGAGAAGGTGGCCAGGAGGACAGGGGCCGAGGAGACAGGGTGAAGCCCAGCTGCCATCACCCTCGCAGCCACCTTCCCCTCACTCTGAAGGCCCACTTTGACTTTGCACCACAACACCCTACATGAGTGACAACGTGGGCTTCTGCCAGAAACGTCACAGTCCCAAACCAGGTGGCTTGGGGTGAAGCCCGTGGAAAGCAGGACACGGAAGAGTCTGTGGGCTCAGAGGTCACGCAGGCCAGAGCTCGTGGGCCCCATCCTAGCTGCCTGGTGCTGCAGGACAATACCAACCCTTTCCTGTAAGTGGGGCTCAGTAACCCTGCCCCTCGGGTGTCCACACAGCCCGAGACGGGCACTGAGCGCAGTTATCCCCTGCCCCATTCCCAGACATCCGATTCAAAAGCCCCCAGCCTGGCCAAGTTTTAAAAGATCCTCCCTCAAGGGACCGGAACAGGAGACTTCCAAGGAAAAGGTACAGGAACAGGGTCATTTCAACTGAGTGGGAGAAGCAGGAAGGCGATGTGATCACCGTCTCAGGCATGGAAGGATAATGACTGCCACCTTCCCTCTCCCCTGGTCGGAACCGGGCACTGCACTGGGGCAGACGCCGCCTTGGGTTCCTCTCCTTGGTGGGCTCTCCACGCGTCCCCCAGGCCGCTGGTGCTGCTCCGATCAGAGGGCGCCCTTTGCGAGTCCCCTGCCAGCCCTGGAGTCTCCCGTCCCATAGCCAAAGGACCGACAACGAGCCCCGTCAGGAGCTCGGGAAGAGCCCAGGCCGGCCCTTCCAATGCTGCAGCTGCTTCCCACCCCCGCCCACCCCTCCAGACCTCTGGAGGTCGTGTTCATGGACTTACGCGTAAACAGTGACAAAGAAGTCTTTGCTCTCCGGGCTTGGCCCACTAGCCACCTTCAGGAACACATCCCGTGGCTCCCCGAGGCCCTGGCGGACACGGGCGCACCCTGAGAACACCGCCTGCCTCCCCACTCCGAGCCCAGCCCCCTGAGCCTGCATGAAGCAGAAGCAGGCGGGAACCAGGCTCCCTCCCTCCCAATAGGTGTTTAATTTTCCGTATTAGTCAGAATTCACTCTTCTTTTTTTTTTTCACTGCAAAAAAGAAAATCATTAACTTCTTGATTTCATATTGAGTTCAATAATTATATTCTGCAGGAGATTTTATCCAATTTCCTAACCAGTCATAACACAATTATTGCCCTTATTCTTTACACAATGGCAATTAATAAGTGGCTTAATTACCACTCACTTTATTCACTTTGCTTCCTGCCTTTTTTTTTCATTTAAATTCAGATAATCAAAGAACTGATCTGCTAGCAGAAAAGATGAAAACTCATGCATAAAGCTTCCACAAGGATATCAAAATACCCCGTTAGCACCTTAGAAAGATACCACTTAACTGAAAACCTACAAGGAAAAGGCTGCCGGAGGCCAGGGGGCTCAGATGACGGGGGGGCTGGCTGGGTGATGGGCTCGGCAGAACTTACCACATTCTGGGTCTCACAGATGACGTTGGGGTCGCTACATCGGACGTGGACTGGGGGTTCCTCACCAGGTCTTCCCACGGGAGCACCTGGGGCAGGGAATATCAGAACAAGCGTCTTTTCTGGACAGGCCTGGGCCACGTGTTGTCACTGTCTGGGGCAGGCCTGGCCTGTCACAGGTACTAACAGACCCCTGCTGGGAGACGGGTGATGCCACCCTACCCCAGTCCCGCCTGCGTGGGCACCGGCACTCCCGCCATTAGCCACGTCCTCGGGGACCTATCCGAAGGGAGTGACCAAGAGTGAATGGGGGGACTACGGAGTAAGGTGCCCGACACAGAAGACGCACCAGACCAGGACCAGGGAAGTGACTGAGCAGCCCAAGGCACGAGTGAACCTCAGGCACAACCCTCGGGGCCATGGGTTTTAGGAGGTAGAATCGGCCCGCCCAGGGCATCTCAGAGGACGTGAGGTCACCATTTCAAACGACAAAGGCAGGTGGAGAATTTACAGGTGGGTCACAGGCTGGAGTAAGAGCATCACGGGATCACATGATGATGCCCCTTGTCACTCTCAGGGAGAAACCTTTTCCCATCTGTTGAACTGTCAAACGCCAGCCGTGGGGACCGATGGGACCTGCCTGGAAGTGTGTGCAAGGGGGGCAGGCGGATGGCCTTCTTCAGGAAGGTGAGCTCTGGGTGGTAGAAGCGGAAGACCTGGTCCACCACGTGGGGCTGAGTCTCCACGGTGAGGCGGAGCACGGCGATGGGCTTGCCTCCACTGCCCCGGAACAAGACCTGCCGAGAGAGCAGACGGCGCCAGCGTCAGCCCCGGCCCGCGGGCCCGCCGAGAGCTGTGTGCGCCCCGCCAGGCTCCGCGGGGCCCGCTCCCCCCGCGAGGTGGGAAGGCCAAGCACTGTGAGACGCGGGGGACGGAGCCTGCAGCAGCATGCAGCACAGGGGTGGCGCGTGGACGTGCTCTCGTGACGCACGCGTCGCCAGTTCTCGTAAGTACGGCCCACGCCTCGACCGCCAGCTACAGGGTGTGCGGCCAACATCGACATGCCCTCAGCCACCGTCCCACCCTCCGGCACGCCCGCCGTGCGCGCGCGGGGCAGCCGCTCCGAGGGTCTGGCGTTAACCCGCCAGGTCCTCGCGGGTGGTAGCGGAGCTCTTTGACTGCAGACGGTCAAAGGAGGCTGTCCCTACACCAAAACGGCTAGAAATATAAACTTCCTTTTTTAAAATAAAAGTTACTGGGGCGCCTGGTGGCGCAGTCAGTTAAGTACCCAACTCTTGGTTTCGGCTCAGGGTCAGGAGACTGAGCCCCACGTTGGGCTCCGCGCTCAGCGGGGAGTCTGCTTAAAATTCTCTCTCTCTGCCCCTCCAGCCCCCGAGCACAGGCGCGCGCTCTCTCTCCCTCTCTCTCTCAAAAATAAATAAATCAGGGTGCCTGGGTGGCTCAATTGGTTAAGCGACTGCCTTCGGCTCAGGTCATGATCCTGGAATCCCAGGATCGAGTCCCACATCGGGCTCCCTGCTCCATGGGAGCCTGCTTCTCCCTCTGACCCTCCTCCCTCTCATGTGCTCTCTCTCTCTCTCTCAAAAATAAATCAATCAATCTTAAAAAAAAAAAAAAGAAAGAAAGAACAGGTATCTTCATTCCCCAGCTCCGTCTGGCCCTGAGCTCTCCAGGCCCCTGAATGAGGGCAGGCACGCAGCCCGACAGCCGAGGCGACCTTCCCACATCGATGGAGAACTCAGGCCTCCAGACAAACCTGCCACACGGGGAAGACGTGTTTATCGTGAAATCTTTTAGATGTACATAGATAAAAGGCTATCTATGTAAAACTCTGTTTAAGTCATAAATCGTAAGAGGACGGCCACCACGAGCCCAAATCCCCGCTGGGCTGGACCCCCCACCCACACTGCTGAGCTCCGGGTGCCCTGCCAGCCCTGCCCAAGGACACCCCCTTCCCGACTCTGTGGGCACTGTCCTGGCTTGGCTTTGCTGTTTTCCCACCTTCGGACCTTTACGCCATGCTGTGCTTGGTTGTGCCTGTCTGGAGCTCGGCCTGAATGCCCTCCCCGTCTCGCGTGCGCTCGCTCAGCTGGGAGAGAGGCTCCCGCAAGCGCAGCGGCCGCCCACCTTCTGTGCCGACACTCTGGCCACAAGTGCACCACCACACGGAGACCACGTGTGTGTTCAGCTGCTGCGCCTGCTACAGACCGGGTCTCCGCCCCAGCCACCCCACCTTGCCCTCCCCTGCTCTGGCCCCCACAGTCCACAGTTCTGCTCCCCTGGCAGCTCCTGGAAGCACGGGGCACAGCCAGGCTCGGGATGGAGGGGATCCTCTGGTCAGCCTCAGCCAGAGACCCATCCTTGTCCAACAATGCTGGGAGCACCCTCCTCTGCTCCTCCTGTGCGGGGTCTCAGACTTACTGCCCACTCTGCACAACCGAGTTCTAGTATTTGCAGCTTCAGCTCACTGTTCCCTAGCACAAGGGGGGCAGGTAGCCACTTCCGGCCATGTCTACCTCCTAGAAAATTTGGAGTTCTGGTTTTACCATTCCAGTGACCTGGTTAATACGTGAGCAGTTAACCTAGTTAACAGTGCTTCGAAAGGGGCGCCTGGGTGGCTCAGTCGTTAAGCATCTGCCTTCGGCTCAGGTCACAGTCCCAGGGTCCTGGGATCGAGCCCCACATCGGGCTCCCTGCTCGGCGGGAAGCCTGCTTCTCCCTCTCCCACTCCCCCTGCTTGTGTTCCCTCTCTCGCTGTGTCTCTGTCAAATAAATAAATAAAATCTTAAAAAAAAAAAAAAAAAAGGGGCGCCTGGGTGGCTCAGTCGGTTAAGCGTCTGCCTTCGGCTCAGGTCATGATCCCAGGGTCCTGGGATCGAGACCCGCATCGGGCTCCCTGCTCGGCGGGAAGCCTGCTTCTCCCTCTCCCACTCCCCCTGCTTGTGTTCCCTCTCTCGCTGTGTCTCTGTCAAATAAATAAATAAAATCTTAAAAAAAAAAAAAAAAAGGGGCGCCTGGGTGGCTCAGTCGGTTAAGCGTCTGCCTTCGGCTCAGGTCATGATCCCAGGGTCCTGGGATCGAGACTCGCATCGGGCTCCCTGCTCGGCGGGAAGCCTGCTTCTCCCTCTCCCACTCCCCCTGCTTGTGTTCCCTCTCTGTTTCTCTCTGTCAAATAAATAAATAAAATCTTTAAAACAAAAAAACAACAGTGCTTTGAAAGGGATGGCGGTGGCAGAGAGCAGCAGTTCAGCGCCCAGTGCCTGCCTCAGACGAGAAGCAGCAAACATACCCCTGTGCGTTCATACTGAGACTCCAAACACTGACCGCCTCTGGAGGTTGCCAGGGCACAGTTCATTACTCTGAACACTGATAAACAAAATGAAAGAATCCAACACTTATCCTGACTTTCTGGTATAAAGTGTATTTCAGGGCAACCAAACTGCTGGTGGGGAAATTCTTGTTTATGGCAGAATCCCAGCTAACAAGTCCAGGAAGAATGAAAGAAGTGGAATTTCCCCATTTCCCACCCTGAAAATGTGTGTGGGCAATGAACCCGAGGGGAGAGAAGACACGGGGCCCTGGAGTCAGTGGGCCCGGACTCACCCAAACCACACGTGAGAAGACAAGTAAGCACAGGATGGACACTAGGCGACTCGGAGGGTCTGCTGCTGATCGGGGGCAGGGACAGTGGCACACGGCGAGGCTAAAAGTCCTTATCTGTTAGGGACACAGACTGACCTCATCACCGGTGAACTCAAAAGATTTCTGGGGTTTGCCTTCAAACTCCAAATCCATGTACGGAAAATGTACTAGCCTCTCAGATTTCGATAGCCCTACATAAACAGCTGATATTCCTTAAGCAAGGCAAAGCTGCACCTCCACATTAAGTAAAATAAAGCAGTTTCCACTGGTGACGGGGCCGAGGGCACAAGAGGCCACCACAGCGAGACGGGAACACAGGCCTGCAGTCGGAGCCGGCTTCTCATCTGAGACTCACTGAAATAATCTGTTCTCGGGGCGGGGGTGGGGCAAAGTCTTGCTGCTTTTGTTTTTACTTTCAAACTACTTCAAAAAGGCATATTTGTCTGCCCAAAAAAAGCTTTGGAAATTCCTAAAAACAAGTGTCCTGAGCTCCCCGTCAGGACATCCTACAGACAAACCTGCCTACCCTATAGGCGGGAATGAGCATTCCCAGAAGTAACCCCACAGCCCCCACACTGATCCTATGGGCCGTGGGGAAGCTGTGGGCGAGGGTCAGGGGGCCAGTCTAGCCCCCGTGTGTGCTGGCCGTGTGCTGGGACAGCTGTACTTCCAGGGCGTGGGGCAGGCACCCAGAGCACCAAGGGCCGCAAGGGGCAAGTGGCCAGGGAGAGGCTCCCAGGCCGGACACCCACGCAGACGCCCTACCAGCAACGCCTGAGGCAGCCACCGCTCGGTCAGCACAGGAAGAGTCCACCTCCACGGGCCTGCTCCACCACCACCGCCCCCCTCCCCCCACCACAGGAGGTTCAGTGAAGGGCAGAGGGCCAGGCCCCAGCAGCGTGAGTAACAACAGAAGTCGTGAACATCTCACTGAGTCTGCTCAGGGGACACCTGGCTCTCACTGCAAGACCCTGGGACCGTCTGGGGTCGCAGGTGTCCTGCCCTCTTACCTTGGCATGCTTAGTGGGCATTGCACTGGACTTCTGGGGCGACCTGGCGTCCGTGCCCTTCTCAGATCGCAGCTCAGCAGAGGCCTGTGAGAAAGCAGTCGGCACCGGCAGGTCACGAGATGGGAGTCGGTGGGTGAGGAGACCTTCTAGCTGCAGGACTTCTCCCTGTAGGAACCGCTGCCCCTGGGACCGAGGGCTCCCGTGCACGGTCTCATCTGCTCTCATAATAACCATGTGGACGGCCACTGTCACAAACCAGCCTCACTATCCCAAAGAGGGAGCAGGGACTGCCAGGAACTGTGAAGGCCCACCCGACATGCAACCCGGCTCCACCTGAAGCCAAAGGCCTGACGTCTTCTTCACTGTCCTTACGACCTCTTGCCCAAAAGTGCATCCAAAGAGTCTACACAGGATTCTGTGAGCCTCTGAGAGCTCCTCGAGCCCATTTACATGAGAACCACTATGCTACAGAGCTGACCCCAAAAGCTCAGTAAGAAAGATAAAACGCGGGGGCGCCTGGGTGGCTCAGTCGTTAAGCATCTGCCTTCAGCTCAGATCATGATCCCAGGGTCCTGGGATCGAGCCCTGCATCGGGTGCCCGCTCAGTAGGAAGCCTGCTTCTCCCTCTCCCACTCCCTCTGCTTGTGTTCCCTCTTTCGCTCTGTCTCTGTCAAATAAATAAAATCTTTAAAAAAAAAAAAAAAAAAGAAAAGAAAGATAAATGCATGCCCTGCGCCCCCCACCCCCACCCCACCAGTCACACGGCATGTACCACTCACATCCATCACTGGAAACCTCCAAGCCTGCATTTCCTACAGACAAGCGAACACTACAGAACGTGGGCAGACAGCATTAACTACAGAACACAAAATGCTGGAAAGTGTCAACCCATCAGCTCTCCCGAGGTAAGGGAGAGGTTCTATACCCGAGAATTAAAGAGCACTCAGAGGGGACGGTCTGCCCTTTCCCGAGGCCCACTGTGTGCATGCTCGCCTAGGGACTGGCAGAGCAGGTGACCACCCCAAGGCTAAGCGGTCTGAGCAGCATGGAGGGACACGCAGAAACGCCCCCACATTATTTAGCCAAGTGGGATTTTCCCATGTGCCTGGCAAGCCCGTCTGGCATTGGAAGAATGGCCTCCTCACCTGCACCAGGGCCGGCTGCCCCACAGAGAAGGTCTGGTATCTGAAGGGGATGTGGGTGGTCTCCCTCGGGCGCAGGAAGATCTGCGGGGCAAGACTGCCCCGCAGATGGAACATATCCTCCTCCACCGGCGTGTGCAGCTTGGCTGCGTCTTTGAAGTACCTCCACTCCCGACTGTCCTGGATGATGCTAGAAGGCAGGGGAGACACGGGCTCAGAGACCATGCTGGATGAAGCTAGAAGGCAGGGGAGGGGACACAGGGCTCTGAGGCAAAACTGCTCTTCCTGGTGAGTTCCCTGCCCACCCACTGAGAGCTGGAACCCAGGACAGTGGGCGAAAGCCGGGATCAGCGGGACCCTTGAACGTCAAGAGCAGCCTGGCTTTCATTTCAGGGAGAACCCAGAGTCACCCCAGGTGACCCAGGCAGGCCCGCCGCTCACTCCCACCTGAGCTCGGGATTGTCCACCTCGATGGTCACTGTGTGCTGCATGTTGTGGGGGTTCCTAAGGGCAAACTCGAAGAACTCGGCAGTGCCCAGTGTGACGTGGATCGTGTGCTTGGTGGTGATGGCCAGGCTTAGCGCGCTGGTGATGCTCTCCACCTTCGTGCGCTCCCGATAGGCAGCAATGACCTGCAGGTCGCGTGCGTGCTGTGCACGGATGCTCTGCTGAGCCTGGGGGACACAGGTGCCAAACCAGGGCTTGCTCTCCTTCTCAAGGGCCGGTCCGCCACCTCCCCCACTCCCACCCTGAATACCAAATTTCTTCTGGGAATCACCACCACCCACTTCCTCAGCCACCTGGGCTGGATGGGACTGGCCCACCCCCAGGTCCAGAGGACAGAGAATGGGTCTACACGGCGCTCCTGGCTTCTCTCTACCCCGCGGCGGTCTCCCCTGTAGGAGGCAGGGTCTGCCCTGCATGCTCCCATGAGACTTCAACTGCCCACAAGGCCAACTCTCCCCGTGGCCTCGAGGCGGGCATCTAGACACAATGGGGAATTAGAAGCAGAGGTTTCTAACAAAAGAGGATAAAATGGCCTCAAAGCTATTAAGACTGGGGATGGGCTCACTGGCCAGGTCCCCAGTGTGGCAACGGGAGCCCTGTCTTCGAGCAGGGGCCTGGCAGACCTGAGTCGGGCCAGAGTTCACAAAACTGGCATGCTGCCTTAGTGGGGCTCAGCCACGGGTCCTTCATCCACCTCCTTCCTCGACACCCTGACTCACTGGGCTTGGCCCACATGACGTGTTCTAGAGGCTGGAGACTGGCCTATGTTTCTGTGTGACTTATACTAAAGAGTGAGGTCCACCCAGAAGGAGACCCCACACCCCGCTCCGCTCCATCTGGGGGACCAGTCAGGCCCCGTGCTGAGAACCTCTGAACACTGAGGAGGCCCAGACATCAGAAGGCAGAGGCTGTTTGAATGCCTTTGGACTTCAACTCAAGAAGTAAGGACCAAATTTGGTTTCTGACTTAAATTACTTTGGATATTGACTTTCCAACATCCAAAACTTTGGCCTTCCCCTCGCATGGGGATTGAAGCTGAGCCTTTAATTTCTCCCTGGGGATTTGAAAACAGGAGGGTGGTCATGCTCATATTTGAGGCCTCCCCACACAGACACAGATGATTAGAGCTTCTTAATGGAGTGAGGGATGGCCAGACATAATTTAGGCTGAGAAATAGAGCACAGAGGGGCTTTTCAAACTTGAACTGAGACAGTGCATTATTCTGACCCACTCCCAAGTTGCAGGGACAAAATCTGGACTGCCCACCAGTGGACGATCCACCCCAGGCTCTAGGGGAGAGGCTGGGGGCAGAGCACAGCGACACCACTCCCCAGCTTACTGTAGACCAGAAGGTGAAAAGCCACAGGTAGAGTCAACACGACCCTGGGGCTCGTGAGGAGGGAAACTCCTTGCCTGTCCTGTGTCCTTCCGTACCATGGAGGAAGCTGTCAGGAAGCCTGGCACCCCTGGCCTCCCTCCAGCCCACAGGACGTGGGGCGACTTCTCTGACAGAAAGCTCTGGAATATGAGCCAGGCAGGCATAGCCCCGCCCTCCCTCAACTCTTCCCTTTGGGACCGACCGGCGTGGACGCCGCATCAGGTGCTCACGCTGCTCCTCACCGGTGGTGGGTTAGTGGCCTGTGGCCATACGGCCTCACCCAGGCGGCTCGGGTCCAGCATTAGCTCCACACTCAGTGTCACCTTGACCGCAGACAGGACCCGAGTCCCAGGGTCTGCTCTACCCATCACTAGAGTCATCAGTAACAGCGGTGACACCTGGGTCTCTCCCTACCATACTCCTGTCTGATTTCTCAATCCATTCACAAGTCAGGCAGGCAAAGGATAAGGACACTTACTGGAGCCCTTGGGTCCCCACAGGCAGCAGAGCCCAGGGACCAGGTCAAGGATGAGCACAGTACCCAACCAGAGCACGGGACTGGCGAGCCTTTCGCTGGGATTTCTGGAAATAAAGCTTTCTATTCTGTGGCACTCAGCATGGGATGACTACATGAAGCAGGGTTACTGCCGCCAAACTGCTACTGTGAGGGGTGATCTGGGGGCTGCAGGGGCGGGCAGAGGGCGGGGGTGGGGGGCTGGTCCCAGGGGCCTGACCACCCCAGGCCTGCCTGCTGGGGCACCTGCTCAAACACGAAATGGCTGGTCCGGAGTCCAGGCCAAGGGCCCTGGGGACCCCGCTGCCACACAGACTGCAGCCTCAGAGGACCCCCCAAACCAGGAGATAGCCTGCCAGCCGTTCTCCCCAGGCTGGGGGGCCCATGGAGAAGGTACCCAGCTCACGGTCTTCCCACGGCTGGGGCTCCGCCTGCACACAGCGGCTGACGCTGACCAACAGCAGCAGGTGGGGCCGGCCACCGTCCCGGGCACCACAGAAGCTGAGCCACCCTCGTGAGGATGCTGGGACTGTCCCAACACAGGCATCTGGCCCCACTCTGTGCTCCACCACTTTCCTGAGAAGCTCCCAGACCATCAGCATCCCCGGCGGCTCTCTGCCTCCCGATGCACAGCCCCCGGGGTCCGAGACCAGCGGACTGCATGAGCGCATCCGGTGCCAAGGACTGGCCAGGGGCTTAGCTCCTCGGCCCTGAGCGCCGCTCCACTTCCGGCTCTCATCAGAGGGCCCGCTGACTTCGTGAATTCACAAACCCTTTTTCTGAAGAAGGCTGTGAGAACTCCAGGTGGGGGAGAAACCACTGCCTACTCGATAAAACAAGTCACTTTCACCTTACATTCTGCAGGCCGCTGACCCAGGAAAAGCATGAGAATTTAGTGGAACATTTTCCTGTATTTAGAAATCCAATTACTCCCAAATTCACGGCTCTATTCAGAATGAGGGCTCCGAGCTGTGGAAACTCTACCAGGACACATCAAACAGGAGGAAACCCACCAACACCAGGGGAAGAATAGGACACCAGCAGTGGCAGCACCTGACTGAGGACCTGTCGTGCGCCGGGCCCGCCACCCAACGAGGGACGGCTGCTGGTGAGCCCGGGCGGCAGCCGACACAGCCAAGGTGCGGCTGGGCCACCAGCTCCAGGGGCCCCACCCTCAGCAGCTGCCATAGGGGAGGAGGCCCATCCGGACCCCAGCCCCACAAGCTCAGTCTGGACGCCCCCCACTGGGCCCTCTCCTGGGCCTCTCCTCCTCCATCAGACCCAACAGTCTTGCTCGCTGGCCTGTTTCCGTCTCTCTCGCTACACCCCACACCTGAGGGCAGGAACCTTCCCCAGCTGCTGTGAGCACGAAGGGCTGAGCAGCGACGTCCGTTCAGACACCTGCCTGCCTTAATGTAAAGGGTGATCCTCAAAGACCTTCCTCAAGGCCCCTGTAGCATCGTGATTCCACAAACCCATCAGGTACAACCACTATCTCCTCCTAGGTCTATGATGCAAAATATGGTAGGGTCTTCTCTAGATTTTTAGACAAAAATGGGAATTTTTCTGGTCAGAATGAATTACTTGATTTGCACTGATGACCCATTCACAGCTCTGACCCCAAACCTGGGGGCCCCTCAGAATCCCCTCTAGAGCCTTCTTAACAGCCCAGGTTATGGACACGCACGTGCATGGCCCAACTGGACACAGGATCTCCAGGGGTGGAACCCAAGAATCAGCTTTTATAAAAACTCTCCAGGTAACTCTGATGTGAAAACCTCCCTTGGTGGCTGAGAGGTCCATCTCCCCTCCATTCCACAAGTAGGATTTGGGAGGGAGAGAGAGAGAGCCACGCAGGAGAAGAGGAGAGAGAGGACGAGGTTGCTTTCATTCACAATGACTGCGGCCCCCACACGGGGACACCCGGGGGCAGCAGGAGGTGGACGAAGCCCTCACCAACATGCTGGCGCCCCAGCAGCTGAGCTCTCCTCTGGACTCCTGAAGGCGCACGGACCTCATCCGCTCCAGCTTGCGCCTGCGGACAGCGTCCCCCTCGTGGCCGGCGCCCTGGGGCCCCTTGCTCCTGTGCTGTGTGTGCGTGAACAGCATGGCGGCCAGCTCACGGTCCACATCAGCCAGCTTCTGTGCTTGAACCACATTTTTTACTGCTGAAAGGTTCAAAGAGGGAGCCAAAGGTTAAAGTGCAGAATTTACGTTCTTTAAGCAGACCCAGCAACAAGCTTCCGGCCACCTCACCCAGGAAGGAAGTTCAGCAGGCACCTTGCCCTTTCCTGTACCTTCTAAGACGCTGATAAAGATGGTAATCATATAAGCTGGTCTCCACAGCATCCCCCCTTTACCAGCCTTTCAAATAAAGGAATTCTGATCTTGGTCCTTAGAGACAAATTAATACACCATTACGTGACTTTCCAGAGGGAAATGAAGGTCAGTGTTCGAGAAGCTGATGCTCTCTGGGTTCTCAAGGGCTGCTGACACCCTCATCCAGGACGCAGCCCCACTGGCGAGAGCCTCCTGACTCGGGGACCACTCTGAGCTCTCAGGACACCACCCCACCAGGTCCTCAGACCCACCCTGTGTGCTCAGATCAGGAATCAGGGGCTCTGATGAGCTGCCCACTTGGCCTGAAGCCCAGGCTCGGGTTCGGGGGGCCCTCAGACCAGGCCTGGCTCCCGAGCTCATGCCCCTGACTACACCCAGCTGCCTCTAGACAGCCTGGCCCCCAAGGAACCGACTCCTCTGGGAGACTCTGCTCAAACCCTGGACATACACAGAAGCCATGTGAGCAGACACACAGAAGCTGAAGCCAGCAGAGGAGCCACATTTTCTTCAGGTGACGAAGCATGGCACACGTCAGGTCACAAGCTGACATCGAGGTTCCTGGACCAGCACTCAAGCTGGCACAGGCGGGCAGAAGAGAAGGAGCACCCCAACTTAGGACTGGGCCCTTCCTGAGCCTCAGGCACCCGCAGCACCCATGGGTAATGAGCGCCCTGCTGAACCTGCTGGCCGGGTCCCACACCGTCACCCCATCTCCAGCCTCCGACTGAAGCACTCCATGTGGTGGTAAAGCAATCCTTTCCCCTGACTCGCCCACCTCTTCCTCCATCGCCAGTAACAAGGGCTATTTCCAGGTTCCTCACCACCATTTTAAAGCTGTTCAATTGCCTTTCAGATGCCATGAGTCAGTTTAGACAGGTAAAATGCCACCCCAAAATAATTTTTCCCATCTCGGGTGCAGGCATAGTGGGTGGGCCACCCCACCTCAGTCGGGTTTGAGTGGCCCGAGGCCCACAGTCCCGGGGGAAGGAGACAAGCAAGGCTGAGGGTTCACCAATGACCTCACCGGTCAGACTGTATCACCCAGTTCCAAAGAAACCAGAAATGGAACTCCAGTACTGCTCAGAGCCTGGAAGTACTTTCTAAAACTCTGCACAACTTCCTACTTGCCGAGCCTTGTCCAGTGGGGAAGATAGGCTCTCTGATGGAACTCCCCATCCTCTGTCTTTGATCCAACAGGGAGAGGGGGACCAGTGACTCCAGAGACCCTCCATTCGCTCAACAAACCCTCATGAGTTACAGCTCCCTGCACCGCCTGGCAGAGCCCCTGACCTGCTGGGCCCCAAGGTGGGGGCTTTCACAAATACCCCCAACCTGTTCTTGGACCAGCCAGGGACAGAGAAGCACTGGCCCCAAAGTGGGAATTCCAGATTCTCACCCAAGTTCACCACCCTTTACCACTCAACTGGCCAAGTCACCTGACACCCACTGCCTCGGTTTCTTCAACACTCAATGGGAGAACAGACGCTCAGCCCGCCGGGATCATGGACCTTGGACCCATCTGAGCATCAGAACCCCAGGTCCCTCTCCCGGGAGAACGCTCGAGCCCCCACAAAGTCTGGGCTGGAGTTTCAGGGAACGTGGGGTCCCGGAGGCCTCTCACCAGCCACAGTGCAGGGCCTCCCTCCCCGGGCACAACAGGCTCAAGGACAACAGTACTGGAGGACCGTCAACACAGGAAGCTCAGGGCAGCTGTGGATCCATGCCAGATGGCCAGCAACGTGGGGGAACAACACCCAAAGGGCATGCCCTGCTTTTCATCCCACCAACAACTTTGCATCCAGGTCTGTGGGTGATTTAAGGGGACAGAAAACTTCAGACGCCCCCTGCTGTGGACAACATTCTCCCCAAGCACAGGACCTACTTCCCAAGCTCCACGACTGCTTTACTCTCCCCACCGTTGGGACTTCAAATCAGTTTTTAAAAACCAGTCTTTGTTCATCCTACCCCTTCCTTCACTTCCTGCTCCCCTGCAGATGGGCAGCTAACCAAGAACACTTGTAGGATGATAATGTGCCTGTGAAACAGCCCAGCCGGCTTCCACAGAGCCTGCTCCAGAGCACGCCGGCTGTGACGCGTGCGCTGACCCGGCACGGCCCGAGGGTCCGGTGAGGCAGGGCACTGAGCTGGACACGACGGCCACTGCTCCCGCCCCCAGACCACACGTGTACCTGCATGCACACGGGCGGACACGCAGCCTTCCGTCTCTCGCTCCACCCTTTCCCCACGCCAATCACACCCGCACACGACCCACGTGCCCCCGCCGCTCCTCACTCACATCTCCGAGCCCCGCGCGTGAGGAGACTGCCTCCCTCGAAGTGGCTGGCTCCATCATTCGAGATGACCCGTGACCTGGAAGGTGGCAACGAGCCGGAATTTCTCACTCTCTGCTCACACCCGTGACCTAAAATAAAAACATCCCAGCAGAAGGTATTAACACCAAAAGGAGTGCGACGAGCCACATCAACTCCCTGTAGGGAGTTCTGGGCTTCTAAGGGCCCATCCACACCCCGGCCTGATAACACCCCAAAACGGCACTCAGGGTTCTGACTCTGCTTGGCAGTTGAGAGGCGGCCGGTAGGTGTGTCTGCTCTCCCTCGGGGCGTTAAAGCTCCAGGCGCTCAGGGCGCTTGCTCACACTCTCACTTCTGATCTCGGGAGCGGCCCTGGCAGCCCCGCTTCGTGGGACGGCTCACGCATTCCCACGCCCGCTACTCAGGGGAGGCCTCCATGCACGTCCACAAACATCTGACTTCAAACACACTTGAAGGTAAGAGAGCCTCGGCAAGCTAGAATCTTCTGGAGCTCTTTTCCCACAGAAGCCTTGGAGAGAAGCAGCAAGCAGCTTCAGAGGGCCTGCGCGAGCCCAGAGGCGGAGCACAAAGCACGCCTGCCCCGGCTGAACGGCCAACGTGTGCAAGGCCCAGGGGAGAAGGGCATCCTATCCTCGGAGCCCACGGCCCCTCTGTGAGGACAGGACTCCCCCCTCAGGGGAGGCAGAGTACAGCTGATGAAGTCGGATTCCAAAACGGACCCCCCAAGTTCTAGACGCAAAACGCTCGCGCTGTGGGCTTCCCCGATTCCGGCAGGATGGTGTTGAACACCCGCAGGCATGGGGCGTCCTGGCGATCTTTCTGGGAGCTGTTAGAAGAGGTACCCCTCCCCCCGGGTGCCCGTTCCCCACCTCTCTGCTGGCCTCCGCTCTGCCCCAGCGGACAGCGGGCTTCCCCGCTCAGCTCCGCCCTCCCCTGCGCCTCTGTCCTGTGGGCACAGGAGCACGGCCCTGACCGCAGCGGTGAGCTGGTCCTCAGCAGTGCTGACCAAGGTGACGTTTCCGTCTCCAGCTGCCTGACAGAAACGTCTCCCTCTCGACTGGCTCGGGAAGGGAATGCCTGTCCCGCCAGGGAGGTCACGTGGTCTCTGCCCTGCTGCCAATGAGGGCCGCCCCTGCAGACCCCAGGGGATAGCAGCTGGAGACCCCAAAGACACGGGTGTGACAGCAGACCATCCCTCAGGCGACTAGCAAGGACTAAGGCCCCAGTCTGGGTGTGGGGAAAAATGCTCGATTCAAAAACAACAGACAGACTGAAACCACCTCTGGCCAAATCAAGAAGTGATTTACTCGGCGCGTTTTAACGGCTGGCGGCACACAGGTGAGCAGAGTCTTGCCCCTGGGGACTTCCATTCTCATCGTTTTCAGACTCCTCTGGTCCTCTCGAGTGTTTTCTGAGAATCACACATCAGGCTGGCCTTCCCCCCAGGCTTCCTGCGACAAGAGCCGCTCCTGGTTATCTGCCCTGCAGCCCAGAGCGTCCACAGCTCAGCCAGCAGCCCCGGGCAAGGCTGGCACACTGGGTGAGTTCCGCAGCCCCCGCCAGGGAGATCAGCTCGCCGGGACAGGCGTGGCGCTCACTGTCTAGAGCCTTCCCTGATACAGCACCACACTCCGGGCCTGGCGAAGCCTGAGGTCAAGCCCGGGTTCTGCCTGCTGGGCGCGCGCCACGTCACCATGAGACGCCAGACGCAGGCCTGCCTCCTCTGCAGTGGGTTCCTCACCAGCCTGGCCACTAAGGCAGGGACAATCCTACCTGGGGTCTCTTCCTGGGGGGACTTCGGTGCCAGGCCCTGTCCTCCTGCAGCTCCATCCCTCCCCTGACGTCAGCTCTGTATGCGCAGTGCACACGTCCACCTTCAGGCTCAGACCTCCGGGCAGACACCACATTTGCCACCCCCGTCCCTCCCTCTGGCCCTGCGTCTAGAGTCCCAGCTGTTCTCCGTCTCTCCTCTGCTGGGAAGCACTTCTCCACGGGGTCTGCCCACCACCCACCCGCAGCTGCTTCTCTGCTCTTCCCCTGCAGACAGAGGGGCTGCTGAGTCCTCTGCCAAACACAGTCCTCTCATCTCCCTCGGGTCAGTTTACCCCCAACACAGCGTCACAAGGTCGTGAGGCTCATCCCCAAGAATGGAACCTGGTGTGAACACCACTTCGGTGGGATCAGCTGCTCACACCTCAGGGCCTGCTTTGTCAGTCCAAGTCCAGGAGGAACAGATTTGGAAGCAAGACAGGCTCTCACACTCGCTCATCCACCCATTCATGAAGCTCGCATCACCACGCCAGGCCACTGTGGCTGCTGCTGGGCGACCATTGCAGCAAGGAAGAACCAGCCGTGTCCCCCAGAAGCCGCCAGGCCCTGAGGGGGACAGACAAGCAAACAAGCAGACAGGCAAGGACAGACAGCCTGGCCAAGTGGGGAGGGGACAGCCAGCTGGTGCCAGAGCCCAGATCCCGGCCTGACATTCACTGCCCCGGTATCACCTGCTCTCCACGTGAGAGGGGACGAGGCGCCACCCAGCCCAGGTGCACCCACTTCCTGCCCTGAGCTCAGAGTCGGTCCGGACTCCCTGCTCTCAGCGCTGTTTCTTCCCGGTGTGGGCGGACGGTCTGGCAAGCTCTCCATCCCACCCTGAGGGTGTGCTCCGTCAGTCACCTGGCAGTGGGCACGAGCCACCTCCGCTCCCTGTCGGGACAACAGATTCATGCCACACCTGAGGGAACTTGGGAGCCCTCCGTGGCCTTCCCTGAAGCACAGGCAGGGAGGCCTTCCCCCATGTCCAGCTGACGTGCCCACGGCCTCTGTTCAGCCTGGTGATCGCTCCACTGGGACAGACGCACAGAAGCCAGGGAAACGGCTGCGGGTCAGGATCTGGTGCAGACAGCTCGGGGGGCGCGCGGCCAGCAGCCTTGGAGACAGGCTCTCAGGAGTCACGACTGTCACCGTGGCATGCGGGACCAGCAGGGCCACACAGTCACCTCCGGACAGACCAGGGCCGTCCCTGAGCGTCGCCGTTTCCTCTGGCGGTATTTGCACTCAGAGAAACGGTTTGTTTGGAAGCTGGGACAATAAACTACATCAGTAGAACGTATACGCGCTGACTCCGGGACCGGCCGCACAAAGGTGCTCACCTCCTCAGGGCACGGTCCACAGTCTCCAGCCGCTGTGGGCTTTCTCTCCCTTCAGTGAGACCTGGGTTAATCTGGGGACCCGCACATCTGCCAGGGGTGCAGAAACTCCCTCCAGATAGGCAGCGCTCCTGACGCAGTTTGCAACTACCTCGTTCCACAGCAGGAGCACAGCACGTCACCATGTCCGACCCCAAACCCAGGCCATCTGTCCACACCCACCCGGTTCTCCTTCAACCCTGAGAACATGGAGCTGGGGGTCGGGGCAGCCCCTTGCTCCCCTGGCGGGCCCCCCGGAAGGGCTGCAGATGAACCACAGTCACCCTGCACCACCAGGATCACTGGGATGGGAGAGCACGGTTCTCGTGACCCCTACATAACGAAAGATCACTGAGAGACACTGCAGACGAGGCTGCAGAGACCATCACGGAGCCTGTCTGAGCCGAGAGGCCGCGGGCGCGAGCACCACCCCTCCCTGGGTGCGGAGAGGGCGCCTCGTCTGCAGCCTCGCGCCAGACCGCACGCCTTGTGAATGCGGAGCCATGGAGCACCGGACAGGCACCGGGATGCTGGCCTGACCCTGCTTCTGTCCCCTGAAGCTCACCCAGCCTTATCTTGCCTGCCGCTCAGGGCAGAACAATCAGTTTCATAAAGAAATGAATCCACAACACTTTTTTTTCCCAAAAAATGCAAAATTGACAGAGGAAAGCACAGCATGTCCACATGGACCAGTATGCTGCGCACATCTGTCCTTTGTTAATCGCCCTCTGCGTCCGCACCTCTCGGGCACGCGTCTCCGACTCTCTCCCATGCGCTATCGCTCTCTTGCAGGCAAAGTATGGAAACGGCAATTTAAGATAACATATAATGGAGCTAATCTTTCTTCTGAAGATAAGATTTAAAACGTGGAGTCACTGCACATTTGTGGGCCGTGAATAAATATAAAAATAACCAATGCAATCTCAGACGCAAAATGCTTCCTGCAGCTCCGTCACTCGTAGGAGCCTCTGAATGATGTCTGCTTCTCACATGCGGCTCATTTCTTTCTCCAGAGCCTAACTGAGTTTTGCTGTTTCCATTTTGTCTGTTCTCCAGGCTGCCTCGGATCCTACCACTGTAAACAAGCAGGCAGAAACCTCCACCCTGACTTAATGAGCCGTGCACATTCCTCCAGCTGCAGCAGCCCCAGCCCACCCGCCTCCGTGCTGCCCGCCCGGGCGCATGTGGCCCATGGGGCTCCAGGCTTTAAAGTCAGCCTGGGCTTTGAGGAATGGAAAATTCCCCCATAAAACGTGAGAGGTTTGAGTCTCATCTAGACAGACACAGCTCCAGAAACTTCAAACAGCTTGATTTTGTCCTGCTTTCCATTTCACCCCGAAAAACCCCATCTTTCCATAGTCCCCTCAAGGGAGACTGAGTGGGCTTGTCCCCTGGCCCCACAGGGGCTCGCTCTGGTCCCCTGCCCTGTGGGGGGCACAGGCAGGCATGCCGGCCCCACATCCCCTGCTGGTCAGGGCCTCAGGGGAGCCTCCAGAACGTCCAGGCAAGTCCACTGTAGCCACAGCCAGCCCAAGGCCCTGCCACCAGCATGTGAGTGAAGGTGCACCAGGGCTGAGCTCAGTGTGTCCAAGAAGCAACCCTTAGACACCACCAGATGTAAGGTCAGGGTGCTAGGCTCTAAAGCAGTGTGCTTCTCTGTTCTCTTATCCCCAAGCTGCATGGAAGTTAAGCAACATTTCTCTCTCCTCTCCTGTGATGAAGTAGTTCTGTGGACTGATATTCCAGATGAAAATCTCTCCTGGAACCAGTCATTTTATCTGAGGATTGTCACGGACATGCCCCGTAGACTGCACCAAGAAATAAAATGTGGGCAAGCCTGAGATGACTAATGATCCCAAATCCTGATGAGAAATCAGGACACCAAACATCTGATGCCAGGACAGGCTCAGGGGTCAAGGACAGATGCTCGTGGTCAAGAACAGATGCCCAGTGGTCAAGGACAGATGCTCGTGGTTAAAGACAGACACCCAGTGGTTGAGGGCAGACTCAGTGGTCAAACAGTAGGAGTTTTTCTGAATTCCTATTGATTATGTGATGCCCACAGCAGGACCACTGCCCTGAGGGAGCTCATGCAGCAAAAGGGAAAATGAGTGGTCACCCCGGAGACGGTGTGAGGCCAAAGTCGCCGGGGACTCTTACCCACGTTGGCCAGCGTCAGATGCAGCCAGCCTTTCACCGCCGTGTAGACACCAATGGGCTTGACACAGCCAAACCGGGTCGCATCTGCACTCACCACCACATCCTGTTCGTATTCGGTCGCCACGACCTCAAGCTCGTGCAGGACCTGCACAGCCGGCCGGCCTTGGCGGAGCAGCTGCTGCAGGGGAGAAAGGCCCCAGTCAGAGGCTGGCTGAGGCAGAGCCCATCTCCTTCTGAAAACCTACGCCCTTGATACCAGGTCCTTCAAGCAAATTCTCTAATAAAGTGCACCCCAATTCACCCACTGAGTGAACACCACAGGTGCACAAACAGGCCTGGCAGCCACCCTCCTGGAGCCCCTTCTGTTCTGTGGCGAGAACAATGGGAAACGAGCAACGGAACAAGGCTGGGGATGCTGAGCAGACGCCATCCACGGTAAGTGAGCGTCAAGAAGGAGGTAGGAGCCAGGCAGGGAAGGCTGGGGGCAGAGTACAGACCCCCCCCACCCGGGGCCTCCGTGCGGCTAGAAGACAGGTGGCGGGCGGGAGCAGGGTCGCTGGGTAACCGAGGCCGACTGCGTGCCGGGCTGCCACGTGAGCACAGCTCTGAGTCAGAAACACACTTCCGGCAAGCTCTCGTCTGGGGAGAGCAGCAGAGCGTAACGGTAAAGAGCACAAGCTTCCGAATCAGAATTGGGCTAAATGCCTGGCTCGGCCACTGTCAGCGCAACTCGGGCCTCAGTTTCCCAGCCGGACACAGGGACAGTGCAGCGCGAGCGCGGGGCAATCAGCCACTGTCACTTTCGCCCTAACAACGCTGTGGTATTCGCGGGACCGGAGCCGAAGGTAGGGCACACCGTACCTCGAGAAGCTCACTGCAACGTCGCTCACAGGGCAACTGGCAAAAATCCCTCACAGCCAACAACACGAGCAGGGGAGCCAAGCCACAGTGCACCACACCTTCCAGAAAATCCACATACCAAAGGCACCTAACTAGCCCAGCACCTGCAGTCACAGGGGATTCGCTCTTCTCATCTAAATTTCCCATCTCTTCTCTATAAATTTTAAAGACTTTATTTTTAAAAAATAAAATTTAGGGCGCCTGGGTGGCTCAGTCGGTTAAGCGACTGCCTTCAGCTCAGGTCATGATCCTGGAGTCCCGGGATCGAGTCCCGCATCAGGCTCCCTGCTCAGTGGGAAGCCTGCTTCTCCCTCTCCCACTCCCCCTGCTTGTGTTCCCTCTCTCGCTGTGTCTCTCTCTGTCAAATAAATAAATAAAATCTTTAAAAAAATAAAAATAAAAAATAAAAAATAAAATTTAATTTTAATTTATGCAAGGGTCAATAACCACAAGAGCATTTGTTTCAGGGGCTCTTCGTGGAGGACAAGATAAAATAACTTCGCCTCCAGGTGATAAAACACAGGGACACAGGGCTCAGCTGGGGATGAGGCAGAAGCCGTGACCGTCCCCAGTTCACAAGGGCTCCTCTCTACCCCTCCAGTGCCCCTCCCTCCTCCATTCCCTCCTCCCTCCTCCCTCCATTCCCTCCATTCCTCACCCCTCTGTTCCCTCCCACTCCCTCGGTGCCCCCTCCACTTGCTCAATCTACGCAGCACCATGCCCACTGTGGGTCATGACTGTGCCAGAGATGAAGACTGACTGTCCCATCCCCACCCACCAGGATGTCATCAGCCAGCATCACAGACAGACAAGCAATGGCCACGACAATCCCGTGGGCACTGTGACCCAAGAAGGTCCGAGGGACCAGGGTGAGGAATGAGAACATCAGCCCACATCTGCCGAGTGCTCACCACGGGTGACCCCTGCCCTTGCTCCTCCCAGTCCCCTGGGGGCATCACCCCTCGTGGATGGACACCTGAGTCGGGTGGAGGAGGGATGGTGCAGCCCAGGTGAGCCCTCAGAGGGAAGAGGGGGAACAGGCAACCCCCAGAGGAAGAGGGGCACGGATTCAGGGGAGCTGCGCACACAGCCAGGCACACCACGGAACAGGAGCCGTGAGCTCGTCATGGTGAGGGGTGCCAAGGAGCGAGCAACGATGGGGCTGGGTCGCAAGTCTCAGTGACCACGCTGACGGCTGCAGGGGCAAGGCTCGGGGCAGGGGGGGAACCGAGGGGCGCCCGAGGCTGGAATCCGGAAGGAAGTCCACTAATGGGAGTCCAGGAGAGCGGGTGACTCTCAGAGATGCAGGAACTGGGGCTGTGGTGCTGTGCCCTCTCCACCTCCGCCCCGCAGGCAGGACATCGTGTCCCCAGTCCCAAGCCCAGGAGCTGCCGTGCAACTACGCTGACCCTCTTGGGAGAAACCCCAGGGAAGAATCTTTAATTAACACACGGATTTAGGATTTAGTATACGAGGAAGATGGAAAGCACAATTAGAGAAAGAATCAGATGCTAATTCTAATTACAATTAGAAAAGCACAATTCTGCTACCATAGCAGGCTTCGGGTGACCTTTGCACACCCCAGTAGGTCCCTCCTCCCTGCCCCCGCCCCCCTGGTGGGCCAGGCCGCTGCTCACAGGGAATGTGCATCCTCACTGTCCTGAGGGGGTGGAGGGGCAAAGGTGACCTTACCTGTGGTCGGTTTGTAGGAGGAGCTGACTGATGACAGAAAATATAACCTAGCATTGCACAACTGAGACTTTGTGAAAATCTTTGCCTTTGGGGAAGGACAGAATTTGTGAACAGTCAGACCACCTACGGAGCAGACCCTCCCAGGAGGGACACCCCACCCTAACTGGGCTCGGCCTTCGCAGAGCCACCACCTTCATCTGGACAGCCGCAGATCCCACGAGGAGCAAGGAGTCTCCATCCCAGACGTCGATCTGTAGGGTCTGGGTGGCCAGGTAGTGGGTGAACCAGCGCTGTTCTCCGGGTTTCAGGAAGCCAGGCTCCACCAGGTACTTGAGCTGAAAGCCAGGAGGCCCTGTCCAAAGAGGCCTCGAATGAGCCCAAAGGTGATTCGAGTCATTTACCATCTTTACATTTTGAAGTGATTCCTGCTGTGGTCACAATCACTAATTTCTGCTTCCATCATAACTACAGTTTAATTAACACATCAATCAAAAATGTCATAAAATACCCAAATTTACAAAATACAGAGTCACATCCAGAAGTCGACATTTCTTTCCAATACATACACTGAACTCCTCCCAGAATATGATTCATGGTTTTCACCGAGTCCTTGTAAAACAGTCTATCCTGAACAGGGACAGATGTCCTGATGGGGCTGCCCAGGGAGGTCACTATTCTGCGTGCAGGGTTTAAGGAGAAACATGGTCTGCTGTCACAACCGGGAGAACACACACACACGCAGAGCTCAAGCTGAGCTCAAGGTGAGCGGCTCAGAAGACCCCAAGTACGGCCCTAGCACAGAGCCTCCCAGGGCTGCACCCGGCTCTCAGGCTCCTCACTGACAGACGGGGTGGACTACAGCCCCCGCCTTTAGGCTTTGCCAGGTGGCATCACCATCAACTCTAAGTTGACAAAAACACCACGGAAGTCATCATTAGTTACAGTGCAGGGAGCAGCAAAGCCGGGGAACACATTCACACATTTCCCCCTTCCCATCAATAACATGTTTACGGAGCCCCCGAGGAGCAGAACACTGACTCGGGGGTGGAAGGGTGCGTGTTTACTCAGCACTGGGAGCAGGTTCCAGGCCAGGCTAAGATCCCCACCCCACCTCCCTCCACCTCAGCCCCGGGGTGTCCCCCTGCTCTCAAGACCAGAATGGTGCTTCCAGCTGAAGGAGGGACACAGGCTGGGAAGGGACACAGCACTGGGGGCTGACAGAAGGTGGGGTGGAGGGCCTCTCGTGGCCCAAAGGACACAGCGCCAGGACCAGCTGCCACAGGCCTGGCTCCCGCCAAGCGAGAGGTCACGGGGGCACCTCATGGAGTGGAGGGGCAGGAAGGAGTCAGGAAAAAGGCTTAGAGAGGGGACGGCAGTGACACCACACAGTGGCAGGCCAGTCCCTAGCTTCACTCTCAAGTGACCAGAGTCACAGGGCCAGTGGAGGCCAAGGACACTCACCACCCCGACCCCAGTGCCACCAGCCAGCTGAGACCCAGGTGGCCTGTGGCATCTGGTCATTGTCAGGACACCCCCGAACTGAGGGAGCCCTGAGGCTGGCTCGTCAGACGCACAGGAACAAAGACCTGTGAACACCAAAGCCCCAGCTCATGACAGCAATGGCGTCGCTCCCCCCCGCCAGGCCCACCTGGGCTACAGGAGAAGGAAGCGCTCAGGTACCGGCTTCTACACCGGTCAGACTTCTGATTCGAAGAGGCAGAACGGATTTGAACTCTGTGGGCCAACTTCCCAAATGACACTTGCGGACAGCCAGCCCCGGGACCGCCACACTCCACCGCCAGCGTCGCCCAGACCCACAGACTCCCCAACCAGAGTTCTCCTTGCTCCCCAGCGAAGCCTGTCCCAACTGGACCCTCCAGCTCCCCTCAACCAGCTCTTCCTCGCATCATCCCAGAGCGCTTCCCGGGCACCGGGCCCTTGCAACGCCCCTCCCGGGTCGCCTCCCACTCCAACACCATGACTGTATCCACTCAGCTGCCCGGTCCTTTCAACGCACCATGAATCCACACTCCACAGATAACTGTGGTGCCCCCAGCATGTGTGCCAAGCACTGCGCAGGAATAACATGGGAGAAGGGGACGGACAGGTCCCCACCTATGCAGCTCACGGTCACAGGGTGACACCCTGAGCCCAGAGCTGATGGCATGCTGAGTACCTGGGGGGGGGCATTTGGGGGTGTGGGGGCCATCCTGGTCTGGGCCCAGCCTCAGGGCTCTCATGCTGGAGGTGCCTAGTTCCTCCCCCCGCAGGCTTGGGCCCCTTCACTCCAGTATGGCTCAGACAACCGGCTCCTTGGTGGCCTTCCTTGAGGTCCACGCTCCCTGCAGTCCATCGTACAGCACTGCCAAAGCATCCACAAAGGGAACCCTGTGTCATCTCCATCCCACTCAAAAGTCTGCAATGATGCTGACCACCTACTCAACCAAGACTGATCCCAGGGGCAGTGGTACCTCCCCAGGGTCTGCTCAGGCCCCCAAGCTCACCTCTCTCACCCCCCTCATAAACACTGAGCCCCAGCCCAGCCGGCCTCCTTCCTGAGCCTTAGTCCAGCCACACCCCCACATCCAAGTCTGGTGGGTGCTCTTCCTCTGGTTGGATGGTCCTCAGTCTCCGTCTCTCCTTCCTGACCCACAAACGCCCCTGCTCCGCGAAGGCATCCACAACTCCCGCAGATGACGAGCACCTCATAACGCTACAGTCTACAACGCCCGATGAATATACAGCAGCTAGGAATATCTACACACCAAATGACAAAGCAAAAATCTAGAGACGCAAGGAGAAACAGACAAAAACATAATAATAGTAAAGACCAACTAATCACTTTGTTTTTAAGGCAGGTCAGGTGGGCAATAAACAAGGGTATGGAAGGCCAGACCGGCTAATCCATTAGGTAGAACATATGTACGTATGACACTGTTCCCCAGTAACACCAAATGTATCTTTCGAGTGTATCTGGAACATTAATAAAAATTAACTATATACTAGGCCACAAAGAAAACCTAAATATACTCCACAAGGCAGAAATAACGCAAACAATATTCTCTGACCACAATGCAACAAACTAGAAACTGGAAACAATTTTTTTAAAATAAATTTACAACTTACCTTTAAATAATTCTACATCAAATGGAAAACAAAATCCAAACAGATTTTCTAGAAAAGAATAAAAGTACTACTTATCTGAATCATCAAAGCATAAAGCAGTAATCAAAGGAAAATTCATAGCCTTGAATATTTTGTATCCACAAAAACAAAAGAATTAAAATAAATGAATTGTATCCACAAAAACAAAAGAATTAAATGAATTAAGCAACTCAAATCAGGAAAAAAACACTGGAGAATATAAAAAAGAAGGTAATGATAAAGACAAGATTTAACTGGTCAGAAAGCAGGATAACAGCAAAACCTGCATGAGGGTCACTTCTGTGTCTTTGGAAAGTCAGGGAGATAGAAATGAGCACCTAAAAGGATGTCCCGGTCCCTGGCAGGACAGCTCTCCCCACGTTAACCCATGGATTCAGCAGACCCCCATAAAGGGCTAACAAGTTCATGTAGAAAACCAGCCCAGCCAGAATGTGCAGGAGGCCCTGCAGGTTAGAGCACCCGGCGGGGGGGGCCTATACGTCAGAGAGAAGCTGCACCTCTGACTCAACAGCATGCCCACCGTGTGTGGACAGGTGCTCTTATGCACAGTCTGGCAAACCACAGCCCACGGGCCGATCCAACTGGGAGCTAAGACTAGCTTTCACATTTTTAAAGGATTGTTAAAAAAGAAGAAGATTCCAGAGAGAACATATGTAACCCAGAAAGTCTAAAATATCTACTAATGGAACTAATGGAACAAAATATAAAATCCAGACATAAACCCAAGTAATAAAAAATGTGGGTAAATGAGAAGGGCCACTCTCAAGTCACTGAAGAAAAAGACAGACTTTCTAATAAACGGCACTAGGTCAAAGGGAGAGACATTTGAAAAAATAAAACTGGATCCCTATCTCCCATCGTACAAGAGGATAAACTACAGACAGACCAGAAGTCTCATGTGAAAAACGAAACCTACAAGCCCCTGGAGAAGCCGTGTGTGGATCTCTTTATGAGCTGGGGAGGTGAACACCTTCGCACAGACTCCCAGGACTCGGAAATTTAGAAGCAATAAAAATAAAGACCACCATATTAGAGGACAAAACAACAAAATTTTACGGGGCACCTGGCTGGCTCAGTCAGTGGACTCTTGGTCTCAGGGTTGTGGGTTCGAGACCCACACTGGATGGAGAAATTACTTAAAAATAAAACCTTAAAAAATTAAAAAATAAAATAAAATGAAACTTTACATAGCAAAACCCACCAAAAGCAAAGTAAAAATGACAAAGCAAGAGAACACACCTGCAATTTATATCGTGGGCAACAGCTAATCTCCTTAATAAACAGAGTTCCCAAAACAAGAGGACAGAAAAAACAAAAATTTGGATGGAAAAATGTAAAGATATGAATAGAAGTTTGCAGACAAATATAAAAGACCTCAACTTCACTCATTATAAAAGAAACGCAAACTAAAACTTCACTAAGATCCACGTCACATCGATCAGCTGTACAAATCCCAAAGCTGAACAGCCTGTTTTGCGGGCAAGGCCCTGAGAAACAGGCCGTCCCGTGCGCTGCGGCGGGAGCAGACTGGCCACGGGCTGCCACGGGGGGCAGCTGACGGCCGTAATCCGATAGCTCGCAACGCCCCGAGCACACGGCTGGGGCACAGGCTGGAGCTGCTGCCTTGTCTGACACCGCGAAGCCTGGAAGCGGCCGAACGGCCGTCAGCGAACACTCTCGCCCAGCGCCCTACGATGTAGCTGCACACACAACGCAGGGGTCTCCGCCGGGAGCCAAGCTCAGGACACGATGGTACGGATCAAAGCAACGTGGAAAAAGCGTGTATTTGGCATGCATGCTACCTGTTGAATAAGGAAACAAGGAGAAATAAAAACCTATTTCCTTACTTTCTGAAACAAACAGAAACATGACAAGGAGAGGCCAGAGACTAAAAGCCCGGTTACCTCTAGGAGGCCGCACGGGGGGCGCATGGTCTAGAGGGCACGAGGGTTTTAGATTTTGAGCCATGTAAATATTCTAACAAATTAAATCAGAAGGGAAGGAAAACCTAAAAGTGAGAACAAATGGAAACAAGTGCATCTGACTGAATATCAAACTGGCAACAGGTCCACAGAGGAAAGAATGATCTCCAGGGATTCCGGCACGCTGAACCAACTCTTTGTCCCCAGCGGAATGTGGCTCAGGACGGGAGAACACCAGAAATCTGAACCCTCCTCACTCAGCACA